GTGAGCATAAACCTTTTTCATGTCTAACCTTCCATGCACTATATTGTCAACACGGTTTGTTGAGATGCCTACAGTTTCAGTGATCTCCCGCACTGCCACTCGATGGTCTTCGAAAATGATGCCGTTAATTGTTTCAACGATTTCCCTTGCGGTGTCCTCAATCGGGCGTCAAGAGCCCGCTTCATCTTCAGCTAATTTTCGGCCGCGTTGGAACTCATTGATAAAAAAATAGACCGTCCTCAACGTTGGTGAAGAACCCCCGTGAACTTCGTTAAGCTCGGCTTTGATCTGCGCAGCAGTCCATTTATTTTACATAGAAGTGTTTAGTCAACACGCGGAGTAGTCTTTTTTTTTTTTTAGTTTTCGTCGTAGCTGACTACTTGTTGGGAACATTTCTCGAGCGTGAACCACGTGTCGCTTGTAACTCAAATTTAGCCTGAGCCCGTCTGAAGAGCCACAGTTGCCAGCCGTAATATTAACACATGAATTGTAGCACCATCTCTGAAAAATTTACCAAACTTGTCAAGGAACCTCTTACTTGGCGATAAAATTATATATATATATATATATATATATATATATATATATATATATATATATATTTTTTTTTTTTTTTCTAAACACATTTTACTAGATTTCTTTATCAAGCTTCATGCAAGCGCACTCATAATAGGAGAGATATGTCAGGAGATCGAGAAAAAATCTGTCATAACATCCCCCATAAGAAAAACTTTGTAGGGCATGGTTTAATAATTTTAGAGTTCTTACATATGACATGTTCCACCACAACCTTGTGGTCACTGCTACCTGATATTGTTATCACCGAGCAGACGCACGAAGCGTGATTGTAAAGAAAATATGTAGGGTAGGTTCACACGACGGATCATACCTTGTTGGAAACGAAACAAACTGATGCAACTCATGTACGTTCATCAAACGTATTATACAGATCCGATGAATTACGTAAATGTGGCAGATTAACTATCTCTTCTATATCCGGAAGATTACAGTTGCCACACTGTATGGCGTCTTCGGGCGCTATTGCTGATAACTTATTAGACAGATACAATACGGGAGCGATAAAATTCTTACCCGGCGGTCTATAAAATGAGTCGACTATGGAAACTTCGCAGTTTTTAAGTTTTTTCTTGCACCAAACAGGTTTGCACATATAATCTGCGTTTAAAGGCTGTGCCATCTAGGTTGTTCGACACAAGTGAGAACAGGCCCTTACCTGGTAATTTTCGGTCTTCGCTGTCTACTTGATACTTAGTTGGGAACATTTCGGAGCCATTTTTGGAAACGTCAAGTCAGGGTTCCGCACCAGTAATAACATCGGCCTCTTTTTGTATTAACAAGAAAAGCATGCTCCTCTTCTTCACTTTAACTTTCCTACACTTCACTGTAACAAAGACTAGGTCTAGAAACTTAGAATTTCACATTTTGCACGAGTTTTCTTGTTACTTAACATTTACCAGCACTGTTTCGGTGTCCGAGTTGATTTACCTCATATCATTGAATTGTATCGCAGTTTAAATGAATATCCCAAGCCGAAATCAAGTGCTCACGCGATGCTCGGGTCCAAATAAGCCGCGTTAAAAGTATTGTCCCTCGTGAGTCCCTGCGTACGCTACTACTGCCCAGCTACGTCATCAAGTTTTGGGAAGACATTGAAAGAAAGCGCTCGCATTTAGCATTGAAAGTTTACTGCAACAAAATTTCTTTATCAGTAGGGTTGCGTGCAAGTACACTTATGTCCCACTAGTGCCAGTACCTTTTGTAAAGTCAGATAAATTCCAACTGAATATCGGTGAATTACCCTTTTAACTTAGTTTCAGCCGTCAACCAGCTGAACCAAAGTGGCAAGGCATAATTTCGTAATGAATTTTTGATATCTTGAATATGTTTCCGATTTTCTAAAATAAAACTATAAAAACACTTTGCTCAACCCAGTCGCTGTAGTATCTTGCCGGAAATCTCTTCGTCTCAAGCTCAAACACTATCGGTATATTTTTGGATCTGTGTTTCAGCATGCCCCCATGGGGCCTTTAAAGGACTTTGGCGTACTATCGCAAACAATACGTGCTGAAACGTTTCTTATTCTTTCGCTGGCGTAGCATCCGGTTCTTGGAAATATTTTTGTCCCTACTAGCGATGGAACGTAATGTTTATATCCCATTTTTAGAAATGAATCACAAATCGAGAAATAATAAGTCAGGGTTGGTCACAGACACAGAAGGCCGGATCGGGTGTTTCAGATCATATTGTCCTTGAGGCTACATGAAACGGTCCAGTGTTACAGCCGAGCGTGACTGTTTCTCATGGAAAACCATCGTGTAAAGTCCTTTTGCGTAATATTGAATTCAGAAAAAAAAGGAGCATTCTTCCCTTCCCTCCTCTCCTTCTGCTCGCGCTACGCTTTCGCTCCCCTGTGTTCTCGATGGCGCTGCGTACAGGATGTGAGATGGAGTACAAATTTGCACTATAATAAATAAATGTCTGTGGGGCGTGAACGTGGCTTTAGTATATACACTCTAAGAAAAATGGGTACATTCTTACACCTCTTCTCACATATAATAGACCTAAAATCTTCAGTTCGAGGTAGAGTGCACTGTCGTTGATCTGACGGTAACAACTTTCGCGAGCTGGTCGATAGCCGTGTTGCATAACTTAATAAAATGTCTAATGTACGTGTGACTGACTGCAAAAATGTAATCGAGGTTTTCTTGGGACTACTGCACAACCAGAGTTTTTTTTTTTTTTTTGGTACAGTCTTTGCCACGTACTTTAGTTATTCCATACGTTATGTCACACCGTTATCAAGCCCCTCGTAAAAGTTGGGGCCGTCGGTTGGACGACAGTGGGCTGCATGTGGGACTGAAGTTTTAGGTAGTATTATATGGGACAAAGGGTGTAAGGCTACACCGCTTTGATACCATTTGTTTAAAGTGTAGATAGGGATTCACGACCGCGTTGAAGCCTAAAAAAACGAGGATGGTCCGATTATAATGACACTGTTATTAAAAGGGAAGTGTCATTAACTGGCGGTCACCGTTCACCCCTGAGGAAAAGATGAGCCTCGGGGAACGTATGGTGTGGGTCGGGTTCCCTCGGCGAGAGATGAAAGAAGAGTAAAAGAGAAATGGGGGAAGGAAGAGAGAGAGAGGGGGTGAGGAGAAGGCGGCAGTGAGGGAAGAAGGGTGGGAGTGGTCACACTGGCAGATTGTTAGGTACCACCGTACTATGGTCTGGGAACGTGGAGTAAGGGAGAAGGTTTCGTAGATTCTCTTCGTTCTTTTGATTCGGTTATGAAGAGTCCGAAAATCGTTGGCTCGGCTGGTGTTACTGCATCAGGCCCCGGGGGGGGGGGGGGGGGGGGGGGTTGTAGCTATTTTAGGCGCCCTCTTAGTTTTGTTTGTTCTCAACCTTCGAATGTCTGTGTTAATTTTTAGTGTGGCCGGGGTAAGGGTGCAAGTTCGGGTTTCAGCAGGAATCAAACAAGCTGAACTTCTTTTCCTTATAGTTTGGGGACAACTACAACTAAAGTTTTGGAAAGGGGTGAAAAGAAAATGAGCACTGTGGAGAAAGAAGGGGCATTTTGGGCAACTGCCGTTCTAAGAAATAGCCTCGACAGCATATGATTCCGACTGCGGTCATGTGCTACCTTAGTTAGCGACACACAAATGCGTGCACCGAAAAACATGCGGCAAATCGCGGATAAACTTGTCTACTTTTCGTATTAATAGCTGTAGTTATTTACAAAAAGTTTACAAACACTTAATACTGCAACAATCACAAACGATATTTGAGTATTTATACACCATCAAAGTTTTTTGAAAAAAGAAAAAAAGCAGTCCAAACAGTACAGAGGAAAAAAATATTATTAGAGCTGCTGTAAAACACGTTAAAATGTATGCGATGAATATAAAATAAACAAACAAGGTAAAATTAATTGTGATGATGACAAATGTGTACGGGTCATCTAAGCTTAATTCCAAAGGGTTTTAATGTCATCATTAGTATATTGACCTTGGGTTTATAGTAAATCTGCATATAGATTAGGTGTACCTGCACGCTGACACGGATGCTTACGAGGCGTGGTCGCGCATAACACACAGGAAATATAGTGCTTGCAAATTTACAACCAGTGCGTGCAAGCTAATACATTCCAGTGACACTTTGGTGAGCAATCAAAACACCGGTCAAAAACATAATAACTGGAGCTGGATGAGGCCACGAGGCATTTGTTCGAGAAAGTACATGCACATAAAAAAAAAAAAAGATGTTTTATAAAACAGAATATTTTTTCCTCCATTCTTAAACGTTAGCGGAAGTCTAATAAAACCATTCTTAAAAAAAGAAATAAAAACTTTTAGTCGTTTTATGATCCCAATATTCTGGCTGTCTGCAAGCCTTTTTAATCTGACGGCATGATTTTTGGTTGGTTTATTTTTAGAGTGCACAAGGACTAGCGACACGAATATTTGACCCATCGAAAGAAGAAACCAAACCCATGATAGGCGTATTCCCGATTTCAGTGGTATTTCAAAAAGTTTAGAAGCGACATTAAAAAAAAAAAAAAAAAAAAAAAAAGCTTTATTGTTGGCACCAGTACTTGCGGGACCATCGTACTGAAACTTCCTTTCCTCAGGTTAATACTGAATCTGCTAGGCAGCAGTAATATTTAAAATTTTATAATTACTCTGCCGCTCTCACCAGAAATGGCGCAATCATGTAACGAATAATTTGGACCGTGCGGCGCTTTATCGGGGTCATGATTCTCTGGTATTGCATTGATGAGCAAGCACGGTGCACATATTGCACATGAATGCTGCAACACCGTTCGGTTGCTACTGCCGGTCTCGAAGCCTCAGCACGACTTCCAAAGCTGCGTAGCACTCGTGGTCCATATCGGCCCAGCGCTGGTTCACGGCGACGTGCAAAACTCGGGATTACGGCATTCTCCCTAGGCATTGTTGGTAGTTAGTAGTTCTGCTCACCGAGGATGCCCAGTCTGAAGTTGATGGTGACCACCACGACGTTTCCGAGGGAGGCGAGAACGGTGCCGTCATAAGGGTTGCCAGAGTTCCACTCGTACGACTCGCCGTGGATGAACATCATCACCGGAAGTCGGACGGCGTCCCTGCCGACTGTGTGGGCCCGGCCATGTTGGGAAGAGCAGAAAGGGAAGGCGGGAGACAAAGGAGAGAACAAAACAAGTTATTAGTACTTTTCATCAGAGACTGGAACAAATTACGCTTTCACAGTGTAACCGATGGGAATGCCATTTTATTCACATACCACTGGAAAGAAGTTTTATATATATGGACCGTGACGAGGTTCTTCACTCCATCACTGTACGAGTCCGGTAAAGAGTTTACTTATTTTTTGTTTTCTATTCTCTCATCACGTTATCGGTCATTGCTAAATCGGTTTCAGTTCTGTTTCGCTTGTTCACGTTTGTTTTCCTTTATGTCCTTTCGTTTTCTTTGGGGTTTCATGAGATATGTGAAGCACTTGTTTTGAATCCAGCTTGTTTACTGCAACCTCCATATGCCCGTGAGGCAAATAAGATAATTTAGAAAAATCCTCGTTACGGGATTTAAGACATGTCGACCTAAATCTTGGCAAGCAAAAGAAATGAGATTGGGTTTCACGGGCGTAAAAACATTGAGTGCGCTTGCGAGCTGGTGGCAGTCGATCATAATCTGTAAATCTCGAGGCATTGGTGGGAACAAAAAGAGAAACGTTAGAGTCGAAAAAAGAAAGACATATGGGGTGAATGCTTTAGTTTAGTTTTAAAAGTTTTTTTTCTCTCTTCTAACCGAATTCGCAAGATTGCACTTCATGACTTCAGGATCGTTTTACTTATATCCCCTTAAATTCACAAGAAATATGATCTCCCTTGCTTCGTTCTTTACAGCTTTAGGTTTCCAGTTTCAGGAAAAATGACAAAAGTTTAGTGGGTATGATGACCTCTCCAGACCTTTTCCAAATTAACTTGAGCGGATCAAAACGATCAGTTTGAGAAACTATTAAGAGATATATATGTGCCGTAAAATTTATGGTGCTTTGTTTGTGCGTTTGTGCGTCGTAATTTAGTTACACTTATTAGGATGTAACAAGTTTCAATATAATTTCATTACAAAACAAATATAAGATTGCTCTGACCTCATAGGTCACATAAATAAATTATTTATTTTAATTATACACTCTCCATCGCCATAAATGTAAGAGTAGATTGAAAGCCATGCCGAATCGTGGTCGTTTTCATTACTAAAGTTTCGCCCTACGGCTGGTGTTGCTAATGAAAATATTAGCGCTAGTAAAGATATTTCCACGCGTAAAACCTTTTGGTAACGCCTAGTAACTAGGACGTACGAGTAAAAGCCGCTTTTCTACCACAAATATGCCCCAAGGATTTATGATTAGGGTCGCGTTGGCGCTGTTATCAGCCTTAGTGCGTATACCACGCTCTGTTGGCCCTTCAAAACAATAGGCATGCATGCGCTGGGTTGTGGAGGTTGCGCACTTGGTGAGAAAGGTGTCACGCTGGGCTGTGAAGTTACAGCTATTAGGATGGTGCAAACTGGACAGAAGTTCTGGGCTGCCGAGACAAGGAATCATTCTTAATAGTTTGAAAGCTCAGAGATGCAGCTCGTTGAAGGAACTACGATGCACTTGGCAGAAGCCCCCAAGTTCGGCTACTTAGCGATATTATTGAGACCATATGGGCAGGGCCGAATCCATGTTTCGAACTCTATAACTAAGCATATGAAGACGCGATGAAGCATGTCAAATTGAAGGAGAAAAATCAAAAAGTAAGACACGCGTTTAAAATTCTGAGATGCAAAGTATGGCCGTACCTTACCATGTTATTGAAACTCACAGCGAAGTTTAGGAAAATAATTTGAAGACAAGCTACGCAGACATGGTTAGCTAGAGATTGATGCTGCGCATGCCCAGTCATGGGGGCACACGCGTGACTCAACAATACGCGCTGGAGGGGAGTTAAGCGCGGTACTAACAGATATGTACATCTCTTAGAGCCCCGCGTCCCGTTCGGACGTCACCGCTCCGTTTTTACGTGTTCCGAAAGGCGTATCGAATGCTCAAATATTTCAACTTTCCCGGTTTCCCGTATCGTGACGTAAGCTCCCGTATTGAGGAAGTGGCCTAGCACGGAGCGCGCCCGGCGCGCTTTCTTCCCGCTCCAGCGTCCGAGATCACTCGATCTTCACGTGCTTGACGAAGGAACGCAGTCAACACGAACTGTGACACCTGGGTCGGAGAGAGCGCAATTGGCCGGGTGTTGCAGGCTTCTCGCATTGATTATTCTACGCTTCGTCGTAAATTTAGGTCGCTATTCGATCATGTTCGCGGTAGTTTCTGCGTGAGGACGCGAAAATTCGCCCGTTCAGGAGCCGACGAGCGTTCAATGTCCTCGTGCTTGGTCGAGCTTGTAGAAGGACTGGCCGTCGAGACCTGAGGAAGGTTTGTCAGCGTCGCTTTTTTTTTTCTTGGTTTGCGGTAGGCCTCTGACAAGTTTCGTCGCGAACTTGCGGTGATATAAACTTCCGTCGCGGTGGTTTCTGTGGGGCGTCGTGAAAATGCTGCGATCCCCACCATCGGTGCTACTCGCCGAGTCAGATGTTCGAGTGACGTCAACAACGTGCTCCGTCACCGGAATCCGTTTACTCCTCTGCTGGCCTTATTGAATGAAGGATGCCTACGAAAATGACGTCTTTGAAGCAGCATTTATTTATCCTTGAAACGAGGTGTTCACGCCAAGTTTCGTAGGTCCCGATAAGTCGCCTGGCAAATGAGGTAAGCGACGATTGCCACGTCCTACCTTTGTTGCACATGGAGGCTTCGTGGGACAAAGTTACAATCGTGCCCTGCCATCACCCTCGGCAACAAGAAGTAGAAACATTTTCGTCCCTCTTCTCCGTATGGTGCAAGTAGCACCGATACTTTTGCCGCCTCGCAACGACGATGCTCCGCTTGATTAAAACCGAACTTGGCGCCTGGAGCCGATCGACTTTTCCGATGCTGCCATGTTGGCCATGTCACGAGGCGGACGACGCGTTATTCCAGCCAAGCTGTATACCTCTACCAGCCAAGGAAATTTCTACGTCGTTGGCGTTATAAGCAACCAACACCGGGCGAACGATTGAAGGCAAAACAGCATATCTCCTTTGAAATCAGGCGTACCGCATACAGCTTAGTATCCGTTTCAATAAAGAAAACCACAAAACAAGCATCAAAACCACGTGATGGATGATAAGGCGCGTGTGAACAGCAGGAACACCCTCCCACGCGTTCCGGTACCGATTAGGTTTGCAGCTGCTTCGAAAGGGGTTGACGTCATTCGAAGCCCTCGTGTGAAGTGCGAACCGCATAAGGGATGATAACAGCGCCTTGCGCCGTGGTGACGGCAACTTGCGACGTGGGGAGTGACGTCACTGGCCTTTCATATATAGGAGAACCCGCCTATAGCACGTTTCAACTTACGTCCGGACGCAGAGGATGTTGCGAGCTATCCTAGCCAATCCCTTTCTGTGGACGTGGCCCGTGATACGCTTTCTGCGCGTCGCTGTGACCCCTTTCTAAGGTAACGTGAGACTCCCACTGCATCCGATTGGATCCGATGGCTCGTAACATCCGCTGCACTTAAACGTAAGATGAAACGGAGTATAGCAACTGATTTCATTGTTGCTGCAGCACCGCTATGAATAGGCCATGCACTGTTAGGACTCCCGAGGAGCAGCGTGAATACTAGGAGCGGCAAATGGAGAAGAAACAGCAATACATCCAGCGGCGGCGTGCTGCGACCGGCGTCGGCATTTCGTACACACTCTAAAAAAAAGGGGGTGTAGACGTTACACCCCTTGTCACATATACGACACCCCAAAACTTCAGTTGGATGTACAACGCACTGACGTTGTACCGACGCTACCAAATTTCATGAGCGGCTTTATAGCCGAGTTGTACAACTCATTAAAATAGTTAATGTAAGTGTGAATGATTGCAAAAAAGTTATTGGGGTTTTCTAGGCTCAACTGCAAAACCTGTGTGTTTTTTTCTAGTAGACTTTGGTACGTACTTTTGCTGCTTAATATGTTATATCTCACCGTTCTCAAGCACCTTTCAAAAGTTGGGCCAGTCAGTACGCCGTCAGCGCGCTGTACGTCGAACTGAAGTTTTGGGGTATCATATATGTGACAAGGGGTGTAACGTCTACACCCCCTTTTTTTTAGAGTGCAGTACAGTAGGAAGTCGTTGCAGGTGATACCACAGCTTCGCTGACTAACTACCTTCACAGCGCGGATTGAAGCCCCAACTTTCTTTTTCTCGGCAGCGGAAAAACTTTTAGCGGACGCACTACACCCGTCACCAAAAAAACCTCACACAGCGTCCGCCGATGCCGTTCAGCCTATTCTGACTACGCCTTTTAGGACGGCCGTCCGAACCGAAAGGTAAAATTTAGTGCGTGCGCCGCAAGGCGTATTTCTTACGTGTTCCAGCGCACTTAATTTAAATTGTTTGTTTGAACTGCTCTTTAGCGGTCAGGCTGACAGCGTGCGTGCGAGATGCTAATAAAATTCCCGAGTAGCTCCGGGCCTTTTTTATGCAGCGAAGTATACGGCGCAAGTCGAGTTCCACAGCCTTCAATGACGGCGTGGGACAGATTATAATTTCCTGTTAAGGTACATCAAAAACACTTTTCCTTTATATGCTTTATAACGTGTAGTCCTTCATTTAAAGACGCCATTTCTGAGACAATGTCCTGTGTTCATTGAAAAAAAAAAAGAAAAAGAAAACATGAGCAATTTGTTTTAGAAGGCTTTGTCACAAACCAACCAGAATTCTCCCAGAATGTATCGCATTGTTTCAGCGAAGGATAAAAAAAAAAACCCTAAAAATAAGGAGGTCGATATAAAAAGAAACTCATTCCTCGAACAAACTGCCAGCCACGGCGGGCGTCAAGGATTGCGAAAACTGACTAATCAATTAAATAGTTAACTAACATCGAAGGATTAAGTTTTAGTTAGTAAATATGCACATATGATTTCGGTTAGAATCTTGCTGAACATCATCGAATACCACGATGTCGACTCATTGTAGGACCATATAAGGCAGTT